GTAGTAGTTTAGCTTTCTTGGCCTGACTTTCCAATTGTCTAGTAAAGATATTTATTCATATAGCACTGTAATATTTTAATAAAATGCGTAAAATGTAATAAAATTTGCACTTAGCTTAATCAAAAATAATACAAATAATATAATAACAATAATAATAAAACCAATAATGTAATATCTTTAATGATAATAAAAGTAAATGCCCTTGCAAAAAAATGTATTTTTCTTAAAACTGATCATGTAGTTCTTTACTATCCTCATTTTCAGTCCAAAGTTTCACATTTTGTTTACATTGGTTTAGAATGGAAGGACGACTATTAGGTTGAAGTTCAGACGTCTAGCACCATACAGTCGCATGTACACGGGCAGAAACTCAGGGCAGTGCAACAACATCATGTTCTTACTGAGTGGGCGATGGACTTCCTAGAATTCCAGGTCAGATAAACGTCTGAGCAGCACTAAGCCTTCCTCTTCACTCTCTGCACCACAGATTTGTAACAAACGGCCGATTAACATTATCGTTGACATTTTATGGGTCGTGTTACATACATTTATTACATTCAATCAAATGTAGTGGTCATTTTCCTACATATTCAGGCACTATTTCATTTTCAGTAAACTATTACATCATCTGGAGCTACATAACCAGAAATCAATGCCTCAGAATACCAGAGGGCTTTACAGCATCCATTGATCTACTGGTCTTCGGCTTGATCGGCCATGACTGGTCACACTAACACACTGTCAGCATGGAAGTTCTTCGCCACACACCTCCTCCACACATAGTTTTGTACAGTTAGTAATGCCGGATATTGTAATCTGTTGCATTTAAAGGAAATGGAAAACATTTTATGTATTATACATGCCATTAGGTGTGTTGTCATTGAGATTTGTTGCACAAAAGAAAAGCTCTGTCTAGTAACCTGGAGCATGTTTAGATTCATTTAAGTGAGAGTGACAGATGGTCCTCTAATCTGGTGCAGTTTGGGAGAAAATGTATTAAATATTTAATTCTTTGTTATTAACATAGCCTACAGCTGAGTTTTCCCTCGAAGGAAAAGCTACCAGACTGTTTATGCTGTCAGTTACAATGATTAGAAAACTGAAACTGAAATTAGCCAATATTACAGTTGGAAGGTTTGACTTCAAGAAAATCGCACTATATTAACAATAAACCTTTGACCCTTGACCTTAAAACTCATGATTTAAATCTGAGGTTATTAATTGTTTCTGGCATTTGTCTTAAAGGAATTGTTTTACATTTTGGGGAATATGCTTTTTTTTTTTTTGCTATTTTGCCAACAGCTACCTGCAGCATCACTCTTGTGTCTGTGAGTTATTGTAGATATAGACACATGTTGAATGAAACAGAAAGCAGGGATTTAACAAAGATATAACACATTATGACTCCATCGATCAGCATTTCCTAAAATAAACAACAAATATCATATTATTTAGTGAGTTCTGGAGCTGTTAGTCGGCCATGTTTAGTAACTTTGGCATGCAAAAGAAGCAGCTCCAAGTCTCTAGACTAAGATAACCACATGTGGACTCAGCCTCTGTATTTTCTGTACAGATGTGAGAGTTTTGACGATAAAGCAAATAGATGCAGATGTTTTTCTCACTATGTTAGCTGTTCCTTTAAAATTCTAACGCAGTCATTGCTTCTTTAGACTATTTTGAAGTTAACCAAACAAAGATCAAGAGAATTTATGATATCTTGATAGGCCTATGCTAGTACTTTAACCTCGAGTCTCTGTTTCTTTTCTCTTTCCAGCGTTCTGGTCCTTCATGTGGTTTGTGGGTTTCTGTTTCTTGGCCAATCAGTGGCAGGTGACCAAGCAAGAGGATAACCCCCTGAGAGAGGGAGGGGACGCTGCCCGGGCAGCCATCACCTTCTCCTTCTTCTCCATCTTCACCTGGGTAAGCATCTCCGCCTTTCATCGGTCCACACAACAACAGCATCGGTACATTGCTGTGGCCTGTGTGGAGACTCAGCTCCTAAAATGCTGGACCTCCCTTCTTCCTCTGCTTGCCAGTTTATCTGATGAACTACATCCATGTGTGTACCTTGAATTGCGTATGGATGCGTGTGAACATTCGTGTCGGTGTACATGTGAACTCATGAACGTGTGAATGTTTTTCCAACAGGGCGCCCAGACTCTCTTCTCTATGGAGAAGCTAAAGAATGTGTCATTTGAAGAGGAATACACCAAGCTGTTCCCCCCTCAGCCTCACCAACCTTTTGTCTGACTCTGCTCTGTCTTGTCCCCCTGCTGCCTTAACCCTCTGCAGCAGCTCCTCCTCCACCTCACTCCTGTTGCTTCACTGTGCCTGTACTTGTTCAAGGGCTCCCGCTTGCATCACATGGAAGTGAGCGTATTTGTAATCCAGCAGCAAGAACAGTTGTACCGTTACTGCTGCCAGTGAGATGCTTTTTAATGCGCTTGCTTACCGTAGTTAATAAAAGTACGTTTTAATATGACCCACATGCATTTTAGTTATTATAATGTATGTGCAAGCGGGTTAACAGAATTGTTGATGAGTAAAAATAACTCAATGCTGATTCACAAATGTCTGGCCTTGGCTTGCAGTTATGTTTGGAATTACAGTTCCTGGCATGCTTAGATTTTTAAATACTCCTATCCAGTAATATTTTATATTAATGTAGTTGTCTTTTTATTCCTGATAGGAAGAAAAAAAACAGTTAATACAATATACAGGAGCATGCAAACTGAATATGAGAATAGTGGGCTATTAAATTCTAAGTTGTGTCTTCTCTGTCTTAAAATGTAATAATAATAATAATATGCAAATATTTCGTTTTAAGCTTTTTGTACTTCAAAGCTGGCAGGTCAGTGTTTTGTTGCTGAGGCTGGTGTGCTGCATCACCAAACCCAGAGCCCTTAAACGAGTACCGTCTCACTCTACAGGAGAGGCCACCTCTTCTTCTAATCATTAACATAATAAAGCTTCGTCTTATTTTCTGTTGGGGTCAAAATGATTAAGGTGACAAATATTGTGAGTAACAGTCTTATTAAAAACAAAAAAAAACTGAAAAAGATAGAAAGATCTATGAAGCATTTGAGTGCATTGCTTAAAATAAAAAAAGCACTCTTATTTATTGTCTGAAAACGGCATGTTGCAGTGTTGTGGGGGATCATGTGTCCTGTAGTGGCAGATTTAAGGTCAAACAAACAAAGGGGATCGAACGCATCAATCTGAGTACATCAAAATAAAATGGTCTCATCCACCTTTTGACCAGAAAGTGAAGAAATGTATTTTCCAAAATGTCAAACTCTTCCTTTAATGTCTACAGTGTTATATATGTACGTTTATTCCATTCTTTGACTGTGTTATTTAGTTTAACAGGTAGATTTTTTAGGGGCGTCCTCCTTGGTGTAGATTTCCAGCAGTTTAATTTAAGTATTGGTTTTATTCCATATTCTTTAGGTTTTTATTTTATGTGGCTGCATGTTATTAAGTTGTTACTTGAATAGTAGACCACATTCAGATTAACAAGAAATCTGAAAAATTCCATCCTTGAAATGTGCTGCAACAATTAATCACGTAGTTGTCAGCTGTCAAATTAATCGCCGAGTATTTTGATCATTAATTAATTAGTAATTTTTCAAGGAAATAAAAAAATCTAAGAATTTAGCTGCTTAAATTGTCTAAAACTGAACTAATGAACTTCTAGTCAATCAACCCACCTGTTGTGTGGTTGTGTAATGAGCCCGAGACCTTCTGATGAATCAAACTGAAGGAGTCGGGCAGTTTGTCTGCAACATCTGATCAGCCGAAAGTAAACAAAACACATTCATCTAACTTCCCAAAACGATGCACTTAAAGCAGCTTTACTCTCTCTGTGGTCGTTTTCTTTGAGTGTCGGCTGCACTCTCTGGCTTTTGAGCCGCTGTTGTCTTGAAACTTCTCTAAATTACAGAGAAAAGTGAGATTTGTGCTGTTTTGCTCTGCAGGGCCTCAGCTGTTCAGCAATGCACACTGACTTTGTTTAATTGCACTGTGACTATCCCAGAGTAGACCGGAGTAATGCGGAGGTGGTGTTTCTCATTACGCAGCGGAACAATGTATAAATAACCTTCTGTGACTGACTAAATTATTCACTCAAACTATCTAATAAGCTTCACAAGCTTTCCATCTTAACTAATAAATGTTTCCTTCTCTCTCTTTGTTCTCTCTCTTCTCCCAACTCCCCCGCTCTAACACCACTGCACCTCTGCTTCAACATCTGTCTCCATACCATTCAACCGCCATCTTTTTTTTTTTTGCCTCCCTGTCCCTGTCCCTCTCTGATCTTTTGTCCCGCACTCCCAAGGCGGGCCAGTCCTTCCTGGCCTTCCAGAGATACAAGCTGGGGGCCGACTCGGCCCTCTTCTCCCAGGACTACACGGACCCCAGCCAGGATGCAGCCGGAGCCCCCTACACCTCCTTCGGCGGGGACGACCTGGAGAGTCCGGGAGGAGGAGGAGGGGGTCAGGCCAACAGCGACGGGGGCTTCGACGGCAGCGGAGGCTACCAGCGTCAAGACTACTGAGACGTCGGGGGGGATCTGGATGAAGTTGCCCAAAGTTTCTGCTTTGAAGTAATATCTGTATTGTTTCTGTCACACTATAAATCACCAAACGGAGCCAATTTGGGCACGGTGCTGGCTTAACTTTACACAACACCAAATGGCTGTTTTGATAAAAAGCGTTGCACTGAAACTTGCAAATTTATTGTTGTGTGTACAAAACAGCGTCCATGTAACGTTCAAAACTGCAAAGAATACTCTTATTAGTGATGATTACAATCAAACAGCGGCGCGTACATTTGAAAAGAGGGACACAGTTTGCAGACAAACAGTATTTAGTTTGGCTAAGTGGTGTCATTTAAACCAAACACTAACACTGGATGGTTTTTATCCATCAATGTAAGATCAAGTCAACCCAGTCAGTTTTGCTACGAGAACCTGGCTATGTGTGTGATCTTAAATGGAATATACTAACCACGGGGAAGACATTTGTATCTGTAATTTGGCTGATTTCCATCTGTTTGTGTAGGATAAATAACTATTTGTGTCAGAAATCTTGGGCATCTTTCCAGATTTTGGGAGGTATGAGCTGGGAGCAGGACAAAATCTCAGTTAGGTGTCTATAGCCGAATAACATCAGGCGGTTCAGGACATCCGTGGGAAGGGGCTGCGGGAGAGACGCTGCAGGTGTTCAGGCGGGTCGGGGGGACTTAAGAATCAGTCGGTAGGTCAAAGGGGGTTTTGCAGAAATGGTCACCCTGTAGCAGATCGATGCTCGTGACCACATTGCCTTTATGTTCTAAGATCTGCTGTCAGTCAGCAAAACGACTTTGATCAGTGAAACACCCTCAAACACACACACACGGAGCCATAGCACAGGTTCACAGCATATTGATTTTAAACAGATCAAAGTTTCTGCTGAGAGAACTCCTTAGTGGTGCATTACAGGATATCAGCGTAGACAAACAGGCAGCAGTGGCATATCTGGCAACTAATCCCCTCGACTGTCAAATGAGAGTGGGCTTGTCTGAATTTTATCTGTTTTCTGTTTTTCCTTGGTGTGTGGATGTGGGACAGTGTGTGTGTCTGTTTTCTTGTTTCCCTAAAAAAAAGCTGTTGTGTTTCCTCAATTGTTGCCTTAGTGCTAACTGCCAAGCAAAACTCCTACAACTATAGGTCCACATGTACCCGACACACACATGATCACAGTTCTCTTTCAGCATCTTTAATGCAAACGTATAGCTAATTGAATTTTTTTCCCTCCCATTTTCGTCCTCAAGCACGTAAAACCCCCGTAACAAAACTAAGCATTCGTCATGATAATAGAGCATCCTAAATAACACAGATGTTACAGATTCTTACAAGCAGGTCGACAGAAAACCTGTGACGTATTTATTTATTGAAATTTCCACTTTTTTTTTTCAGTAAATCTACAGATGAGGCAACCATAAACATCCTGAGTATTTATGCATTGCTCCATTTTCTTAAAGAATAAAGTATAACTATCTCTCTATAAATATGTAAATCTATAATTCAATATATTACAGTGTTTGAAAAAAATATGCTTTATTTTAGGGCATTATGCTAGTTCTGTATAAAAAAAAAGAAAAGACTAAAGAAAGAAGACCTATGATGTGTTAAGTGTTGTTGTGATAAGATATATGGTGAGGCTATCCAGACCTCATCCTTTATGTTGCTTTCAGGGTAAGGAGATGTTTTTATTTTGGGATAACAATACTAACTATATTAAAAAAAAAAAAATACAGCAACAACAAAAAATACAAAAAAAAATGTGACCAAATTATCAAAGTATATATGCACATATATACTTTAAACTGTACATCCGTGTAGACGTAGAAATGTGTGATGTTCCTCTGTGAAATCCGTTTAAAACAGCAAGGTAAGATCTAAGAAAAAGATTGTGTACAAATGTATGTTTTTGATGTGTTCAATTTTAACCAATAAAAATAAAGAAAAAAAAAGATAAAGGTATGAATGATTGGTCTGGGATTTATGCATGTCGTAGTTATTTCCTTCATTGGCTAAAGTCAAAGGACATGAGTTTGGGTTTGTGAGATTAATGAAGCGTTTAGTTCAGAAAACATTTGTTTTCGGTCCAGTAGAGATGAGACACAGAGATGTGACACGTCTCCCCCCACTGGCAAGACTTTCAAGTGCAGGTTTTGCAAAGACAGCTTTTGATGCCTTGAAATAATAAAACTTGATTGTCGTTATCTTTTACTCATCCTGCTAATCGTATAATAATAGATTGTTAAATTTATTCCTAAATTCTAAGCAAAATATGCACTTTTCAGAATCCGAAAAAACTTCATTTATCCCTGAGGGGCAATTAGGTGGGCAAAGAGTGACACATTAAACATGAGCAAGAGAAAGAAAAACAATACACGAGAAAAAAACAAAAACAAACAATTTAAAAACAGATCTTTAACAAAGGCTAAGATCTATTTAGTGCATCATCCAAATATATAAATATATATATTTACCATATATTCACTTATAGATATTAGATAATCACATACAGTCATTAGTATAAGACAATCAGATGTATTTATTACCATAACTTTTTTCAAACAGTTATGAACTCTCTTGCGGTTTGCTGTGACTTGTAGTTCATATTAAACCCATAGGGTGGCGCTATTGTCAAATGAATCCGGCGCAGCAACAAACCGGAAGCGGTGTTTGTTAGTTTTCTTTTTGTGTGTGTACGATTGTATAAATTAACTAAATTATGAATTGTACTTTAAACTTTTAAAATAAAGAAATTACATTTATTTTTCCACAAAAAAACAAACATGAGTTCAATAAAGTTACAAGGATGCTGCCTCTCAAATTATCGGAAATTTAGCTACCGCGTGTAATCTCATTATAAAAGACAAGTCATGAGGAGAAAAGACGGTTTGATGCCCAGACCAGTACACTTATAAGACAGTGCTTGAATTAAAAGCATCAAGATTGTGGGACTGTCATTGTCAATTGGCATTTTACCATCATTTGCTCCTATTGAATGAAATAACAGGAGCGTTTATGTCTTCGTCTTTGGGAATTACGACTTTTGCGATGAATCCTGAACGCAGCGAGTCTCGTCCAACATGGCGGCGCAGCGGAGGAATTTCATGCAGAGCGTAAGTGAAAACCCAGCTGTTTATCACTCTCTCCAACCTGTAATGTTTCCTTTTCGCTGCTCCTGGGGACTGTTTTGGTCTCTGTTGTCTCTCCCGGTGGTCGCCGTTGCTCGTTTAAGTGTCGTTTAGTCTCTTCTCGCCGTTCAAGTGATGCTAGTGCTAGCTAATTTAGTTGAGCCAGTGAGTGTTTTGCTAACAGTTAGCTAGCTGCCAAAATCACACTAATGCGATTTGTTTGCGTCTGTAATCACCAAAGACAATCGGTATCAGTGGAATTAGGAGGAGGTGGCAATGCGGTCGATGCTAACTTTGCTTTTCTTGTCGCTTCCTCGATATATCACACTAAGAGTTGCTAATCTGATGGGATGTAGAAACTAGCTACTTTCAAAACAAACAGTGAACAAGCGACTGACTTTAAAGTAAAGATGACCAGGTGGTGTTTAGCCAAACAGATTCTTAAGAAAGCTTTCTGTTTGTGATTGTGATAGTCGTAGTACTCTTCGGTTCGTGCTGACACTTTGGTTGATGTTAGTGACAACCGAGTGTCAGACTTGGGGGGGCTGGTTCTGGCTCAGTGACCCCCATGCATGGATGGTGTTGACTCCCACTGTCGGAACAGAGGATTCAGATTGAAAGCAAGTCGTCTTATCAATCAATTAATGTACTTTCAGGGGATTGAAGCTATCGAAGGTGTCGTGATGCTTTCAGGTGCGGCAGGCCAAGGAGGATTTGTGTATGGAGCAATTAAGTTCAATTATAATACAACGCATGCTGTTGTAACATCTACATTGGGACGTGACAGTAAACAGACAAGATGAAAAAGACAATGAAAAATACATAAGAGGACCACCTATCCATCAAAAACTGTTGAGTGCAGACACATTTTCATTTTTTAAATCTGAGAACATTTAGTAAATTGCACTGATTCCTTATGCAAACAAAGTAATGCTGATTTGGTTTGAGTATATGCAGATAAATTCAAATTACTGTATTTATCTTTTGAAAACTGTGTCCAATTTCGATCTTAGCCCAAAAAACATAGATTTTGCCAGACTGTTATGCTTCAGTTTGGCAAAGTGTTTGTAAGGAGAGTTTAGTATTTTCTCTTAGTGGGTTCACACTGTCTCTCTCTCTCGAAGAATTTCCTGCTTAAATGAAATAGAATAGAATACTTTATTGATCCCACATTGGGGGAAGTTTACACGCCACAGCAGCATCCAAAAATATAGAAAGTACAAGAAAATAACAATAATTAAGTAATATGCATCCTGGTGTCCGCACACGGCAGGTCCAAGGCCCCACTGTTCTCTGGGTGGGTAGTCCACATGCTCGCTGAATGTAGGGAGAGTGGTAGAGAGCCATGTATGATTAAAGTCTCCTGAGATGACTATCAGAGACTGAGGGTGTGATGTTTGCAGCTGGGACACTGAACTATGGATGAGTTCACAGGCTGCAGTAGCATCAGCCGAGGAGGGGGATGTGTGAAAACTCCCTCGGCTGATGCTGATGCTGCTGCATCCTCGGCAGGTAAAACGGCCGCAAACCAAGCGCCAGCGGTTCAACATCCTTCGTGCAGCGCCGCTCTTTAACGCTAACGTGCCCAGCATTACACCATCTCTCATTCACATACATGGCGAGTCCCCAGCCTTTCTTCTCACCACTCGCCCTCCAGCTCCAGGCCGCTCTGACCAAGTGAAATCTGTCCAAAGTTACGAGTGAGTCCGGAGTGAGTTCGTTCAGCCATGACTCCGTGAACAACATAAATCATATAGTGTAACCGCAAGCAGGTGTACACAAGTATTGCCTTAATATACCAGCCTGCAACCTACAGATCCCTACTTTATGCTTTGATGTATTTATTGATTTCTTTTTTTCCTGCTTCAGCCACATCAGAGCTGGACAGATGACCTGCCTCTGTGTCAGATGTGTGGGGTCGGCACAGCACCCAACTGTGCATACGGCTCCGATGGTAAAGGAACTCAGAGCCACCCCAACGAGGACGGACACCTCAGGTTCAGGTAAATAAGAACTGACACGGAAGAAACAAATATCATGTCAAACAGGACGTGAATAGATGGAAAAAATGAAGAACTGAATATGAAGTTGCAGAAATTAGAATTCAGTGAATAAAAGTGCAGACAAGCTCAATCAAAACACAGGCAGTTTACGCCAGACGTATGGATAACACGGATTAATTAAAAGCAGTGGAAAATGAACTCGTGCAAGTCTAAGGGGAGCCGCTTCCAGCAGCATAATAACTAAACGCCGTTCCACCATGTTTGAGCTGAAGTCTGGGCATCATTAACTGACCAGTCCCCTGCACATCCTTGAGAACTCCCAGACTTCTATTCAACAAACATATCTGTAATGTAGTTCAGGGCCAGACCATTCAGAGACCTATAGATAATAAGTACGGTCTAGAATTCATTATATATTTAACAGGGAGCCAGTGCAAGGATCTATCAATCAAGAGCGATGTGTTCTCTCTTGGCGTTTGTCAGTATTCTAGCAGCAGCATTTTGGCTAAGTTGCGAATGTCTAATGGTCTCATTAGAGAGTGCATTAGAGTCGTCTGTCCTACAAGGAGTAGAAGCATGAATGGTTATTTAAAATCTTACTTGGACATAAAGTTTGGCTATTCCAGAGTATTATAGAAAACCCTCCACCATGAGCTCAAGTACATTATGAAAGTGTGTAACTGCACCTCAGTCATCAGAGTGAAAACAAGTTTTCCAATCCCTATATACTGATTGCACGGCCATGAAAGCAAACAGCAGGTTGTGGCTGCAGGCGTTGCTTGTCTGATAAATGAATCATTGCTATTCATATGTTGTTGCTAATGCGGTATATTCTGGTGTTTGAATGCCAAGATGAGGCAGTGGCAGCGATACTGTTCAGTGTTTATCATCAAACACCGCAGAATGAAGCCACATGAGGCGTACATGTGTCTCTGTGCTGTGTTTGAACGAATCCAAAACATCTGCACCGAAGGAATTTAAATGCATATTGTATGCAAATACTCTGCTAACTGTCAGTTTCTCCTGGTTGTTTTCAAACATGACATATCGCAAATATGCAAATTCTACACCTCCAGATGTTCCATGTTACAGTTTCATTTCTCTCAAACCATAGCTAGTCGTGGCTAAAGGATGTTTTCATGTCTAAATGTTTCCTATCATTCCTCCTTGAAGTTGAACACATCCCACACGTCTGTTGTGTTTTGTCTACCAATCAGAGGCGAGGACGGCTGTTTCCTGTACGGGGTTTTTAATGGTTATGATGGCAGCAGAGTCGCCAGCTTCGCTTCCCAGTGTCTGACGGCTGAGCTGCTACTAGGGCAGCTAAACTCCAGCCACACGGACAACGACGTCCGCAGGATCCTCACACAGGTCTGTGTCTGTGTGTGCTTACATCACATGGTTCATGTCTTTATGTTTCAGAAGGAATAAGAAACACAGTGTTAATCTTTAGGATGGGAAATTATGATTTCACTCCTTTAAAGACAAAGTTTGTGATGTTTAATAAAAAACAAGACAAAAAAACACGATACATTTCAAAATGTTTTCATTCCCAATTAAAAGATGTCTTTAAATGCAGACTAACTTCATATAATTGTATATAAAGTTAAACTTAGCGATGGTTTCTGAAACTCTTACAAGTGTATTTATCTCAGTCATGCATTTAAACCTGTATTTTCAACTGTGCACATATGAGCAACTCTTCAATATTCTCTTGCAGACTCTAATAGACTCTTTATGTCTATAAAGTCAGATTATGCAAGAAAAACATTTCTGCATCATGTCATCCGACCACATAGTGAATTAACTGACCACACAGAA